CGCACACGTCTTTGTCCACTCGGCAAAAATTGATGGATATCGGTTGGGAATTGATGTTACACCCACCATATAGCTCTGATCTCGCGCCATCGGATTACCACTTATTTCGATCCCTGGACAGCTCCCTTCGTGGTCAAACTTTTAATGATGACGACGCTGTAAAATCTCACTTAACTCAGTTTTTGACCGAAAAGGATCAGACTTTCTACGAGCGTGGAATTTTCAAGTTGTCGGAGAGATGGCAAAAGGTCATCGAACAAAATGGAAAATACGTTACAGATTAAACTTCATTTCAAGTAAAAAGAAATTTTTTATTTCATCGAACAATTCGGCAATTACTTAGTTGCCAACCCAATACTTTTAGTAAATGTTCCGAACTTGTTTCCATGGAACTTCCGTTACACGATGTTGACTCTAAAATATTCGTTCCACCAGGATGCTTTTTGACGTAACGCCAGCCGTCCGCTATCGAATTCCATAAATAAAGATCGCGTCTACGTAATCGGCCGTGATTGAATAACGCGCGCTTGAACCGCCGGTTGGGTTCACGGTAATTGAACGAAAGTGGTGGGAGTATAATTAGCCAGATGCTCTCGTAAAAATTAATAGCGAGAAAAATGAAAGGAAAGTCATGCCCGCGGACGCAATTACGCTGTTCTGTAACAACTCACATCCCGTTCCTGCCTTGGCCTCCTATCGCGTACATTTTCCCGTGACTGACCACCAATCCGAAGTCCTTTCTGGCTGTCAGCATGCCAGGTTCATTGAACCAAGTCCTGGTGGTCGGGTCGTAGCTCCAGACGCTGCCGACCGCGGTGCTCTTTCTGTGCAGTTTGTCTTCCAGAGGATCCGCTCCGCCTAACAATACATCCTCTTCTTTATTTATTTTTTAGCTCTAACGAGAAACGTTGTTCTCTCTGCTACACGGGGCCCGAGTAACGGAGAGCGTTACGCTGGCAACACCCAGTGCCATTTCGCTATTATTCTGCGGCACCCCTGGCGGAAAGTGGCCGATCGAAACTGTGAATCTGTTGGGCTCGTGTTAACAGAGACTTCATGTTGCACAATTGCGCGAATATTGCCGATGTTCTATTGTTTCTTTAGGTTTCATTCGTAAATTGCGGGCTGTGGGTCAGTTTGACCCATTCAAATCGTCTACTGATTAGTCAATTTTCGGCAGTTGAATTAAATAAGTGGATGTTACACTGGGAATAACAGAGACACTAATAAGTCTACATAAAGTATCCTCAAAAATATGTTTGGAAAAATTGGCGAATAAAGCTGAGAATCGTCACAAATATCGTCAATTGTATTGTTCTGAAAATGGTCCGCCAAGGGTTAAAAGATTATTCTGAATTCGCATTATCAGCAAAGTGGGACGACCTTTTGATAGTGCAGGATATCAGAAAATATTCAAATACGAAATGATGCACTCTCTGCTGCTGCATAGAGATTATAAAAACAATTTAAGTAGCATGACAAATATTATACAGCATCAGAATAGTTTGTGATATTTTGACAAAGTTGTTCACAGAGAATGATAGCACCCTCTAAATCAAGAACATACAAGAACATTATTTTCGCGATTGCATTTGTCTGATCGAATACGTTTCGCCAAGGGCATCATTTCAACGATTTCGAATTAGTATTAGGTCCCTGCCAAAGGAATCGACAATGTGATTCATCGCTGCTTGCTTTCAAGATACAGATATATGTTTCATATATTTGACAGATATATGACAGATATATGTTTCTGTTACCGCTTATCGTTAGGCACGTATCACCTATGCTCGAAAGTTTAGGATTTGCCAGGAACGAATGACACGCCTCGCGATAGTCGCTTAGTCATGTCTAGACTCACCCACTACGTAGATACGGCCTCTTAGGTAAGCAACCGAATGATGATGTCGCGGCTGAGGAATTTCTCCAACGAATTCCCAAATGTTCCCGTCAGACTTGAATCTGTAGATAGCTCGGCCGGTGTTTCCGCCGCGACCATAATCGTCGTGGGGATCTACACCGCCGAATACGAGTACCGACTCTCGATCGGGGAAATACAGAGACTCCTCGTAGAAGCAGCTGTCGACGGTGGAACTGTAAACAATGCCTTCCTTTAAAAAAACAGCTCTTTGTAATCATTACAATCGTTATAATCTCTTTACAATCTATCGAATCGTTAATGAATTCATTCATCCCGAATTAGCCTTGTAAGTCTCTCACGTTGGTTTCATTCTTTGTAGCTTCTACGTTTTTCGTCAGTTGTTTTTACTGCAGTTCGCACATGCCAATTTCCATTGTCATACATTATTAAACCGTGGATTTTACGCATTTGTAACAATAACGAAGCAGAAGTGGGAAACTTTGAAACAGCGAAAAAATGATTTCAGAGGAAAAGGAGCAAAATTGATATTCTTGCAGTTGATGCAAAAAATCCGCACACAATTCAGTTATTCCATTATTTTGCTAACTATACCCTGTGTGTCTAATCTATACGTTTCGCCGGAATTCTTCGTAATTTATCGATCTCGAATCTACGATCAAAACACTAACAATGGCTGCGCGCAGCTCGGAGTTCGTATCTGGACAGAATACTCGGAGTTGGTCTCGGACATCGCATTGTTCGCAGCATTGTCATCGACATCAGTTCCGGTCGATTTTCCGTCGGATCGCGGTGACAGCGGCTCCTCCGTGTCAGTGTTATCCAACGCCGTGCCGACAATCTCACTTCGATTCACGAAAAATCTCGGCGACTTGATAGTCGTGATAGCGTTCGTTGTATTTCGTGGATGCGACGTGTTCCTCGGCGTCGGCTGCGGTCTTTGCTCCCCGGACACGTAAGAAGGCGCACGCTCGTCGCACTGCAATGTAAAACGTGCAATTAATAAGAGGAAGGCTTTAATTAACCTGTTAAGCAAGACCGCGATTAATCAGAAACGAGTCGGAGCGTCCCGTCCGCGTGAAACGCGATATTTCTCTCGACGTGTTTCCACCACGTGTAATTTCTCCGGTGCTGATTTTTCACGACGAGCTAATTGGTCTTGCATACTGCGCGGATGCATTAGGATACGAGTCGATCATTTATGGCTCGCAAGTCAACGCACAACATTTCTCGCCTGGTCCGATTTGTTCTCGCCGGGCCGTTGACTTTGCGTCCGCCTCGGCTGTTCCATCTTCTTGGTCCTCGAGTTTGCCGGCCATGCTGCTTCCACCTTCCCATTTCTGATTTGGTTTGCCGAACTGTTTGAAATTCCGACAGACTCCACCAAGGACTTGCGCGATGCCTCGCCCATCGGGATCGCCAGAAGTTCCGCCACCTTCTTGATATTCCGTTTCGCCTCCGACGTTGATACCTTTATCTGCCGTTTACAGAAACAACATGTTTCGCATAAGCCGATCTGCGGTCTGTATATTGGAAACCTCGTCGATGATTGCAAAAATCCAGCGATCCTAAGTTTCATTCCCTTTTCCATTTTGTTTTCGATGTTCCATCTATACGTCTTATAAATAGACCGCAATTTTTATTTCTACGCGAAGCAGGAGTCAAATACTTTCATTCCTCTTTTAATAATTTTGATATGTGGAAAGTAGCATATTTTAATTCACATATTGTATTATTAACCTTCTATAGCCCTAATATTTAATAAATATCGATTAAATAAATTTAGTAAATATCAATTTTTAGATTTAAATTAATTATGAATATACAATTTAAAAAGAAAACACGTTGCTTTTAAACACAACAGAACAAGATATTTTTACGATATTGTGGCTGTAATTGAAATGCAATTAATTTACGAATGTTTTCTAAATTAGTATGCGAATTGAAAGTACCATTGTGCTATAGAGGGTTAATAATTTCTTCTCGCATAATTTAGAACTCTTTTATTCAAAATCAACGTTGATCCTCTTAATATTTCTCATACAAATAGAAAATAATCTAAACTGGTTCAAAGAAAGTAAAGATTTAGGTGGAACGTTTGTAATTCTGGGTTATTCGAATCTCGTTATTCCATAGTGAATATTTCTACTATTTTAAATGTTATTCATTTCTTCTAAGTCGAAATAAGATTTGATTCTTCTGTTATCAAACTCTAAATATTAAACTAAATGAAGCTATACAAGAAACAAAAATTGTCTCGTTCTATTACGAAAATTATTAGTAGACCGCGGATTTTTATGCAAAATAAGAATTGTAACAAATACTAGTGTAAAATTGTAGTTTGTTTTCTTCCTTAATATGTCTAATGGATTGAAAATAATGTAACAACATTCCCTAACACTTCTCTAATTATTAGTGACGAATAAGTACTAATCAACGTAGCTGAGAAAAAATTCGTAGCGTAAAGGGTTACGATCTCGACGTATTTTCCTTATTTTCCCTTATTTTCTGTTATTGCAACGAAACGTTTCGGTGTTGACTCTGAACTGTCTGTGTGGCAAGACCATACATTCCCGAATATTTCACAATTCACTTCCATGATCAGCACAGTAGCGGCCATGGGAACGAACCGACCGAAAACATTTGTTTCGCCAGCGCCATCGAGTTCTGGCCTGACAGTGACTTCGGTGTATCGGATCGAGGGGGGAAACTTTCTTGTCCACTAACTTCGTGAAATCTCCTTCTGGCCTTATATCCTCTGAAGACGGCCTGTATCATGGTGGCCGCCTCCTCCTCGGATTTGCCGGAGTCCGCGCAATGCTCGCGGTCCCTCGGCATCTTACGTCTCGTCTGCTGCATCCTCGCGGAAAATATCAGACCCGAGTCGTGTTGCTGGCATCGGCAAACATCCGGCGTGTTCTTCTCCTGTCGGGTCCCGTAATCCAATTTGCTGGCGTTCTGGAAAAAAGCGGAGACGACTCGCGGACTACGGGGACGAAAGTTTCTCACCGAGGGCCGCGTCTTTCGCCTTTACAGCCGTTTCCCCGTTTCCCTTTTCGCCGAAGTTGTATTACCGGCAGATTCGCGAACTGTCGAGGCTGCTCCCACCCGGGCTTCTCGATACCCGATGATTTATGGGCAGCTTTGGCCGATTCCCCGCCGCCGTTGAACCTGCCGTCAAAGGCGACCGTGTTCGCAGCTCGCGCCTTGCTCTGCGCAATAATTCATATTGATGCTTGTACACCGACGTAGACCGGGCTGGAATTAGTCGGGATTCGCTCTCATCTGTCGCTCGATGCGCTCGCGACACCGTGAAAAAAACAACAGAAATGCCCGTTTATGTAAGGCGAAACGTCTCGAGTCTCGACACTTTTGACGTATCCTCTCCGTTTTCACACGATGTAGCGAATTTATGCGATTTAAAATAGTGCATTATTGCTATGCTTAATTATTGCTAATCGCATGCTTGAATTCAACTATTTGGTAGACAGCATAAGTATTTGATTCTATTAAAAAATGGGGACATTTAACCATTCTTCGATATTGCATCGTCGAATGAATGAAGTACAATTCGTTGATTTACACCACGAAGAGCATAGCTTGACGAGGTATTATTCAACAAAGAGCGTGCGACGACTTTGAAAAGAATGTTTGAAAATCTAGAAATGTTGTAACAATTTTTAAAGTTCACTCTTTTCTACGCCTTTCGGGTCGCGAAACATGACTCGAGCCGCGTCGCCTTAAAATTTAAGCACGCATCGAAGAATCATTATGCGAGTTTCTTCGAGACGGATCGTAGGCCCTTCAATATCGTTGACTCACGGCCACGGGATCGGTGTAATCTCAAGGCAAGAGCTTACACGCCGCAAGTGCAGTGCGAACGAATTGGCGGCCATTGCGCCGGCTCCCGATGCCATTACGCGCACGGATTTCGAGCTGCATAAACTCTGACCTTCGACTACAGCTCCGTGACAATTCTTGGGCGAGATTTATTGTTTCCACTTACGAGCAGGCCGCCGCTTACCTCGAGATTTCTCCGAGACGATAAACCCCCTCGTAATAATCCCTGAAAGCAGGCAAAAGCGGAACTCTGTGAAACGTTCTTTCCGCGCGGATAGTTCACGATCGCGGACGACTCACCCTGCCGACTAATCCGCTCGAAATCCATCCGTGGCGTTCTATGTATACAGTTTACCCTGGAAACTATTGTCCATTTCCGGAATTTGTCGCCGCGTCGTCTTCGATACTCGAAAGACGCGCGTTGATTCGTTGTCGTTATCGTTCATTACGTTTTGGTAATCCGTTAATTCGTTGGTCCGCGAAATGAAACACACACGGTGGCACGAGTGCTTTTGGACATCAGTCTCGACGTTTAATGGGTACATGCGTTATACGAGCTAAATACGATATACAAATGTCTAGACGAGTACGCGATTGGAAGAGAAACCTGTTCGTTCGTCGGATAAAGACAGTTTAGGGGATGCGGCTGGCGACGTTCAATGGATCCGTCTGATCTGAGGCTTTTCGGACGCTCTTCGAGGACAGTACGAGCCAGGGTTACTCACCCCTCTGTTTCGTTCCAGGTGGGTCAAGTACTCGTTCATGAATTTCGGCGGTATCGGCATCCCTGACATCTTGGTCGGCGGGGCTGAGTTCTTCGGGTGCAGCGCCTCGCTATTTTGAACGGCTCCGCTGTCGCCTGCCGCGTTAAAGCTTAATTAATCGAGCGTTTCGCTCGTGTACATTCATATCTTGCATTCAATGAAAACATTTAAAGGAAAGGTATAACGCTATTCAAATGTATGCATGTTGTCGTTCATTTGGAAAGATTCTGCGTCAGAGTCGAGCCACCGAACCAGTTGAAAATTCAAATTAATTCTACAATTAGCTCGTATAACGCATTCTTTTTATAGATATTTAGATTGAGGGATTAAGAACGTACCCGAGCTTTGAGGATGATCGATGACGCCTCTGGGAGACGCGAACGTGTAATCGTTGGGCGGCGAGCGGGGCGGAGTGGGTTTTCTGCGAGATTTTCGAGCTTTTAGCTCTGCTATCTTCGTTTTTTGGTATTCCTCGAGGTACAGCAGGAATTCTCTGTATGTCACGTAGTTCTATAAACAAAGTTACTCTCTAAATACAAAATAATCGTTCGAAGACAGTAACAAACACTTCGCATGTAACAAACAGTTATAGTTAAATACCTTGTCCTCTCCGGCCCAATTGCGATTGGTCGGCTCGCTGAGTCCCAGCAAGTCGATCCAGTGATAGTAATCCTCGGTCTGATTACCGTACCAATACTTGATGATGACGAAACTGAAAGAATCGATTCGATTCACGTATCACGTCGATTTGAAAATGTTCGAGTCCGCTGGAACAGACTCGTTGCTCGTTCGAAGCTTACGCTAATCCGTCGTCGACCATCTTCTGCACCTCCGGGTAGGACATCAGCTCCATGAACTCAGGGTTCTCCGGGTTCCTTTTCACGTCCACCAATTGCCACGGGGCGATCAGCCCGAACCGGACGCATCTCATCACCTCCAGCATGTGCTTCTTTCTGTCCTCCCAGTCGTGCATCAGCCATCGAACCGCGGACATCAGGACCTCCATTTCGCTGATGAGGAGTCGCGGGGTTTAGGGTGACGCGGAACGATAGGGAATTCGGGGACGACGTCGAACGAGGTACCTGTTCACGCAGATGTAGTTCGACTTCAACAGCAGGCAGAGCTCCTCGATTCTCAGCTCGAGGAAGTCTCTGGTGCTGACGAGCATCAGGAAGAACTTCATGATCCTCGGCACCATCAGCTCCATCACGGCTGTGTTCCTGCTCTTCCTGGCCTCTAGGTAGAGCAGGAACGCCGTGTCCTCGGAGAACAGCTCGTCGTTGTCTATGAAAGCCCAGCACTGCTCCTCTAATTCTAGGGAACAAAGGGGCGGAGCAGATGTTCGTATTAAAAATAGGTTTGGCCCTAAGATTTCCGTTATACGATTCGTTTAGCGCGACGATTTTTGGCTACGGCGATGCTTTCTGCTGTTGATGCGCATGTTAGATTCCATTCGCGAGCCCATTTTTTTCGGGAACAGTCGTTTATTACGCGCTCGGATGGACGCGAGAGATATAAATTTCGCGGATACAGTGCGAGGGCGGCGCGCGGCGCGCGGATGCGATACATCCCTTATTTTCTTCGGGGTCTCATATGGTTTATTGAAGTTTCGAGTTGGACAGTGACGTATTCAACGGAACTCAAGCGCGGCGCCATCGAGAGTTCCCCAGCGGAAGCTTATCGCGCCGCGGAACTTTTCATTCTTTCCCCAGTGAAACGCGGTCGAACTTCTGAAGTGTGCGCGAAAAGGCGTGCACTATATATTATGCAAGACAGTGCCGTTTCAGAAGACGGATGGCAATGGGAAACGGCACTGGGGCCGCAATGTAAACAGGATCATCGGGCGTAAATCCTTCGCATAAATAAAGACAAAGGAGGAGCTACACTCGCTGGATGTCCGACATCCCTGTTCGCCATCAATCCTTTCATCATCCCCGAAAACGGTTCGCAGCGACGCGAGTCCTTTTTTTAAATCATAATTGCACAACCGCGTCGGCTTTAAACGTTTACAATTTCTACAAACCGTGCAAAATTTAAATACATTTGATTCTGTCGTCTTAAAACAGTAAGACGCAGTCGCTGGATTTTCTTCTAGAGAAAGAATGAAATTTTTCGCGGTCCTTCGTTTGGAGATAAATCGATTAAATCATAGAATTTGATGCGAAGAATGTCCGAGGAACAATAATAATATCCCGCCGTGCGAATATACAGAATTGTCGTAAAAAAATACGTTGCTTGTTATTTCTGGCTGGAAAGATGTCAGCAGAATGCAAAAGATATTAAAAAGTCTTGCCTACCTTTAATGCAAAGATATTGAGCAGCGATGAAGATGTCCAAGATGTTGTCCCTCTGCAGAAGGCGGCAGCTCTCGTTCTGCGGGCTGATCATCCAATCGTAGATAATGGAGAACGCGTTCGAGGACACGCCGCTCTGTTCCGCAAGCGGTCGAATTATTCGCGAAAAAGGTGGCGCAAAAAATCGGCCGAGCAACAACGAGACGAGCCGGAGTGCCAGTTTCTATTTTTAATTAGTCGTTTCCTTGACACGTGGCGAGCAAGAGAGCGTCGTTGAACGGGAGGGACGAGCGCGGACCGACAAAATGGCCGACGTCTCTCGCAGCGACTTTTAAAGGGCGCGGAGCGACGCCCGTCATTCGAGAGCCGCTATTCACCCTTAACTAAAAAGTGAGTCAAATATAGCCACTGGCGCGGAGGGTGGAAAGGAGTTCAAGGTCGCTTGGCTGCGAGCCCACCGAGCCACCGGTGGAGGACGAGGAACAGAGAGAACCAGAAGAACAGGATGCTGACACAAGACGTTCGCGATGCCTGCAAACCCCTGGCTGCTGCTTAGTTGGCCACTCTGATGCACCGGCACACACAGTGCAGCTCGTAAGTATTCGAACGATAACACGAATTGAGAAAAACGCAAGTTTCTTTCGATGGTAATTGATATGTATGTATCGATTTCTGATCCCAATTAAGAATCAAGCTGAAATTACGATTCATCGAATTTTTATATCTTTGGGTGATATCGATTTTATAGGTAGCTGCGTTTTGGTCACAGGATATTTCTGGATAATGTCTAGCAGTTAAGTTTCTTGATGCAACACCTGGCAACAGGATTCTGATTAGACACATTAATACAAAGTTTAATAAATTAATGTTTTTCAAATTAATTGCAGATTTGCGTCATTCTAAATCTCTCTTTACTTGATTCTTCATTTTAGTTTACTTAAAAACCAAGCTCTCCCTTAATTTCTCTTTACAGGCTATTTTACAGTTGTCTATTCTAACTATACTGTGGATCCATGTGCAAAATAACATGTTTTTAAATCAGTTATAAGAAACGGAAGTTAAAAATGCATTTTTTTTGTTTTAATAATTCCAATAATTTCAGGAGAATGTGCAAACGTTCTTAAATTCTTCTAACGTCTGCACTTAATCGATTCTAGCATAAACGCATAACATTCGTATTCGAATTAAATAATTTTATAGTTATATAAGTTTATAAAAAATATATTAATGTGCCTGGTATCATGCTTTGTATCAGAGGTTCTGCTTTCCAAGCGATAATCTAAAAAACTCTACAGATTCACATTTGATTCTAGCATAAACGCATAACATTCGTATTTTAATCAAATAACTTTATAGTTATATAAGTTTATAAAAAATGTATTAATGTGCCTGGTATAATGCTTTGTACCAGAGGTTCTGCTTTCCAAGCGATAATCTAAAAATCTCTACAGATCCACATTTGATTCCGTACGCACCAATGTATCATGTAAATCAGCTTTGGTGAGTACCTAATGGAACGAAGAAGCCCGCAAAGCGAATCAGCAAACTTTCCTGCAGAACAGCCTAGTTGCTCGGAGCAGCCCGACTAAATTCGCGTCGTCGCCGAAGAATACCACGCGGTGGGATCACCGCGGAATGTCAGCAGTCCCGAGAGCCGCAAGGGTGACACAATGGTGTAGGAATTCCGACCGAGATCAAACGCGGGTCTCGCAGAATCTGATCAGATCGCCGCCCACTCTATCAGACAAATGGCTCTGTGAAGAGGGAAGAGGAATCGAGCGGAAGAACTCGTCGAAGCAAGGGGTGGGGGGTTGCAGGATGGTGCGAGGACCGCGGAGGATGAACGGCGGAGCTGGTTGATCGAACACGGACGATGGATACGTGTTCTGGGAGAAGGAAAGCGGCGGCTAGAAAATCGGATCGCGCGAACAAAGGGACTTTATTCGACTGCAGGTTTCGCAGACCGATAACGCCGTAATAGATCTTGTCCGCGACGGCGCACGAGCCGCGCGAACCTCGCCCCTCCGTCCCTCTCGTCCGCCGGGAAACCCGAGGCACGAGCATCGTTTCCCACTTTTCCCCATATAATAAATCGTTCGATAGCAGTCCGCGGGCGGGGAGAGAGTGACGCGATTAAACTTATCGACGAAAGGAGAGCCGTGGCCACGACTCGTTTAACGGAGTTCGTTAAGGGATGAAGATCGATGGCGGACGAGTGCCGGTGAAGGGAGGCCCGTTAATGCACAACCCCGTTTCGCTCTTTTCGAATAAACGATACGTCCGAAGAAATATCACGGGCTTCGCTGCGACGCCGTTGCCCGGCGACCAGGTCAACTGGAAGATGGAAATGGCAAATGATCGAAGTAATTACGCCATTTTTGTTCGCCTGATGGATGTTCTTCGACGCGGCCGCGGGTAATCAAGAGAAAAGGGGTCGGTTTTGCGGGGACCTCCTCCTCGGAAGATTAATTTCTTTCGAGGCTCGTCGAGATCCTCCTTTTTTTCGGAGAATTAAAGTTTTACATCGCCCCGTTCGCGGCGATTGTTTGGGCAAACGATCGGGCAGGGGGTTGAAAAATGCTTCGGGATTTCTTAAAAAGCGCGCTCTTCGTTCGTTATTTCCGTCTTTGTTAGGAAGTTGGATATTTTTCAGTCCTTCGTTCGATTCTTCGCTCGATGATTTTCTATTGCAATACTTTCAAATGGATCGTTCATTGTTTCCCTTTTAACACTAAACCTTCCTAAATGTTTATTACGACGCGTGCTTGGTTCATGAAATTCATTCAAATATTTTCATCGAACGGTCTTTATTTTTACCGGCTTAGTAGGTTTAGCGTCAACGTTGAACATTTACGTACACAGCTTTCAGAATTTAGACTCGACATGCGCCGACATTTCTCACAATATTTCGGACAGAATCTGCTCGATGTAAATGTTACTCATCCCAATCGAATCGAAAGGAAATCAAATTGTCCAGTTGTCGACGTTCGACCATCGACGTGAACGCACAGAGGCTGGTAACTTTTCTTCTGCGGCAATTTACTAGCACCGAAGCGGTTCTAATCAACGCCGTAAGTATTCATAGGGTGAAAGGTTAACGTTCCCGAACCATCGTATTAATTCCGAGCATCGCGAAGTCGTTTACGTAGCGCACTTCCGTAAACGAAGTTTATCGCGAAAGAAACGACGGTGCCGATGGTTGTTTGACCTAACACACGGCCCGACGTGCTTCTGCTCGTCCGTGGCAAGGCGCGGCGTTAACATCCGATAACTCACCCCGGTCAAGTCGATCTCCTTGCAATTCTTCTCGTCGAAGAAGACGCTGTAGCTCTGCAGCACGAGCAAGTGGCAGTGGAACTCGTCCTGATCGATCCGCACAATGCAATCGGCGTTCCTTGAAAGATCGATAGAGGAAATTTAGCCCGCGTGATCCGCTCCTACCCCCGGCCTACCGTTCACCCCCGCAACATTGTTTCATCGAGCGGACACGGGTATAAGCTTACTTGTAATTTGTGATACGCCTGGCCAACTCCTGATACAAGTCGGTCTTCTCCGGGAGAATTATGTTATCCCAATCGATTGGCTGCTCACCCGTAAATCCGAGTCTGCTCGAAATTACGCCGATCAAACGTTATTGGGGGAAACGCCGGTGGAAATCGCCTCGGCGAGCCAGTTCGCTTTTCCTTTTATCGGCGAGCGAACGACCCCGGGTCGATACAATTTCATGGAGATACGCGAAAGTAAATGTTTCGCGCGCCTGTTTTTCCTTCTTTTTTTTCTCTCTCCATCCCTTCGTCTTTCTCCTCCTCCTCCTACTACTACTTTTTTTTGTGCCCCCAAGCGAAACTACACCGACCGAGTTTCTGATGTTTTTATGGCGAGATACTCACGCGGACAGCGGCACCTCTTGCAGCAATGGCCCACCGTAAGATGTGGACGGGACCGTTTGCTGTTTTTGCTCGTCCGATTGTGCCAGCTTCACTTTGAACTGGTGCATCACGGGTCGCTGCGTGTCCTCCATCTGCAATGGGTTCCTTTGTCTCTGCACGCAAATGAAATCTGTATTTTACGAGAACATTTCACGCATTTCGCCGAACTTCGACACTAAACGTGCCGAGGCTTTAAAATGATTTTTATTTGTTGTTTTACAGAAATTGCAGATTTCATTGAGTTACGCAATTTTTGTGATAGCCTGTGCTCGAGTGTAAATATACAGCGTGTCCCAAAAATGTTTCGCAATCCGGAAATGGCGGGTTCCTCGGGTCATTTGAAGCAACTTGTTCCTTTACAAAAATGTTCTCCGAGGCACCGTTAACGAGTTATTAACGAAAAACAGTGACCAATAAGAATCGAGTACGGCTGACGCGATGCCCAGTCAACCAGCGCACGAAGCCCAGTTCCGCTCATTGGCTTGGTTGCCTCGCGCCAGCTGAGCTCACCTCGTGTCAGCTGAGCTCGCCTCTCATTTGGTCACTGTTTTTCGTTAATAATTAGTAAACGAAGCCTTGGAGAAAATTTTCGCAAAGGAAAAAGTTGCTTCAAATGACCTGAGGAACTCGCCACTTTCGGATTGCGGGACATTTTTGGGACACCCTGTATATTGATGAATTTCCAATGGACAACAGAGCTCTACAATCTCAATAATTATAAAAAAAATATGTGAAACCGATTAGTCTGACCGATNGGTCATTTGAAGCAACTTGTTCCTTTACAAAAATGTTCTCCGAGGCACCGTTAACGAGTTATTAACGAAAAACAGTGACCAATAAGAATCGAGTACGGCTGACGCGATGCCCAGTCAACCAGCGCACGAAGCCCAGTTCCGCTCATTGGCTTGGTTGCCTCGCGCCAGCTGAGCTCACCTCGTGTCAGCTGAGCTCGCCTCTCATTTGGTCACTGTTTTTCGTTAATAATTAGTAAACGAAGCCTTGGAGAAAATTTTCGCAAAGGAAAAAGTTGCTTC